TACGCCACACTGGAGAACTGTGAGGACAAACATTTGGGAGGAAAGCTGAGCTGATCCTAATTGAAGCAGACACTAGCGCTCTTTCGTCGAAATTCCACCGGCTTTGCCAACCTGATGTCAGGTTCTCCATCACTGTGTGAGGGTCGCCTGCAGGCAGGGCACGCTAAAAATAAATTACGCATGCACATCCCCCCTCCTCTTTCCCACATGTGCAAACATATACTCCAAGTGAGCAAAGAAAAGCATGTGGGAACCACTCCTTGACACCGCTGTTGTCAATGAGTACATTTTGCTGCAAGTGAGGGTTTTCGTTCTGTGTCTCAGGAGGTTTGGGCAAGTGAAGAACATGCCACATTGATATTGGGGCTGCAGGCATTGCAGGGCTAGTTTTTAATAGCTTACAGAGGACAGTGGACTGAGCTGACTATTTTATTACACTCAAAGTCTGGCCACACTTATCTTGCAATTTTTAAAAGGTATTTGTTAATTTGGTTTCTGGAGTAAGTGCACCGTGTGCTGGATTGGGTGGTTTCAAAGATTTCTTCTTATCTTGGAGTCTACATTTCCAGATTGCCCTTTTCTTTCCCTGCCTGCTTGGGCTATAAAGAGTAGTTTGCTCAAAATCCTCACAACATCTGCAGCTGAGCATTGTAGGAATGGCTTTCCTGGAGAGGGTGCGGTGTCTTTCCTCCTAGACGCTCCTCAGATATGACATCCTCCAGGGTCATGAAGGTCTCTGAGATCTGTCAGGGACTATCTGGGTTTTTTGTTTCCTTCTGCAGCAGAGAACATGAGCTGTTTGTGAGGAACATCTGGGGATATTTCATTTAATCAGGTTTTTACTGCTCTTGTGGCTTTGGGTATTAGCACTGTCTCTGTTACTTCTCTTCTCTGGCAGAGGCAGTCAGCAGTTGAGTCTCCCGAGAGACAACTAAACCATATTATTGGCTCCCTCCAGGGGTAGCTGGGTGAAACTTAATGGTCCATGAGATACAAAAAGTCAGTAGAAATGATCTAATGTCCCCTTCTAGTCTTAAACTCAGTGAAATGGTGAAAATTCTGCTTCTAAAGGAAATGGCAGATGAGCAGTTGCCAGGATCTCCTACCAGACTCCTTCTCCAGCTGTGTCTGTGGGGAGCAGTTCCCTTTTTGCAGTCCTGTTTGCAGACTCTCAGCAGAATTGCACCATTTTCACTCCTGGAGACCAAATTCTCATTCCCATCCTTCTGTGCAGCCCATTTGCCCTTCTTCTTCCCTCAAATGCTGAGACTGTTTCAGCCCCTCTTTGTGGTGACCATTTCTGAGAGAAACTTTTTGGTTTCCCTCCTGCTTTTACCAAAATCCAAATGAGATATCTGTTATATCTGACATCTGCCTTTCACATGAATCAGCTCAAACCTCCAGTTCCAAAATATCTCTGGCCCTCCTAAATGCAGAAATCAGTCTTGTGCATCTACTCTCTCTGTGTCTGGTTGAAAGCTTTAGCCAAAAAAAGTCTCCCAGGAATTTTTATAGACTCAAAACATCTCTTTTGTTTTTCTCTTCTGCAGAGAAAATGTGCAATTTAAAATTGTGGATGTGTATTTTTCTTTTTCTTGGAAGCATTTGCAAAGGTGGCCAGAGCTGCCTCTCTTCGGCTGCCAAGTAGGTGTCCTATCCTACATGTGCTTTCAATAAAATCAGTGTTTCCTCTCTCCAATTTAAATGCTTTACCTTGAATATTTCCATATAAAAAGAGAAACTTGAGATAAATTGCAGGACTAGAAATCCTCGACTCTGGGGATTTCAAGCATGAGTGAAGCACGCGTGCTTTTTCCTCATCTGAATTCAAGGGCACACCAACTCCACAATGACTACCTTTCCACGGAGGGAAAGGGGAGGCCTCCTCCTGCTTGCTCTACCACATCAGGTTGACCAGGTTGACTGCAACTCTCTTCTGTAGGAAAAGCCAGTCTGTGGCCATCTAGTTGTTAACAGGTAGTTGGCACAAAGCTTGCAAAGTGTGATGTTAAAACCAGCCAACTGACCAGAAGAGCTCAACTTCTTGGACCCTCCATTCCAGCGTGATCTTTAACCCTTTTATGTTTCATAATCTTTTTAGAAAAGCATCAGTCAGAGGCTAGTGACTGCTGAGGAACTGGTAAGTTCTTCCCCCACTAGAAAAACAGAAAGAGTTTAAAATATTTGCTTCCTTTAGTTAAGGTTTACAATTCTTAATAGTATGTTATTAGGAAGTTGCAGAGAAATCAAATGAGAACACAATTGTTAATAAATTTGCTTAATAAAACCATTAAAGCAAAATAAATTCCAGCTATCACTTAGTGTATTAAATGAATGGCAAGTAACTTCTTTTTAGTTTTGCTGGGTAAATTCATTTGGAACACCTGTAATTTAAAATAGTCCCGAGATTTAAATAATTTTGTGGCCACCGCTTTTGCATTATGCTAAGTTCAGTCCCAGAAAGGTGGCTGCAGTTCTCACGCTTTTCATTTTCCCAGATTAATTGACACGACAGTTTCTTTGTTGTTCTTTGGGTGATAACCCTCAGCAAGTCTTTTATTTTTCCAAATTATCTGGCTTGTCCATGGCCCCTCTTAGTCTGAAAGTACAAAGCGAGCTAGGGTTCTTTCCAAACTTACTAATGATAAAGACTGTTCGTTCTCCCAGTCATCTTTGGTGCAATCTGTTTCAAATGCTGGGATTGATGAGTGTCTCAGAACAGTGTAGGAGGGCTGCCTGAGCGTGACTGAGCCACAGAGTTAAAAAAAAGAAATCTAAAAAATAATAGATTCATTTCAAATAGAAAATAAAATTCAAGGAAGCCATGGCTTGCCTAAAACAAAATAAGCCAGCTAAATTTATTGTCTGGATTATTAATTGTGCCGGATTTTTCAGCTGCCCCGAGAATGTCGCTTTAATCATTCGGTGAGCCTGAAGCCTGGGTCTCCAGAGATCATGTTCTGATCTCTCACATACGGTATATCGCACTGTTCATTAGACCCACTGGTCCAGTCACATGGAAATGATGTTCAGACTATTTCTATCTGTGTCTGCTACTTTTCTTCCTGAATGTGTCAGCCTCATGATAAGGGCAGTGACTCCAGCTGATGCAGACACAATTGCTGATTGCAAAGAGAGACGCTGCTGTGAAAATAGAGAGAGTTTTATTTCCGTCATGGGCTTTGGGTTTGGGCTTTGCAAGAAGTCCCTGCCCCGGAGAAATACAAATTCCCTTGGGGAAGGAGGGTGCTGAGGTATGTGAGATCACAGACTCTGAGTGGCGAAAAGAGGACAAACTGCTGGGCTGGGATGCCCAAAAGCTGGGCTCAACTCCAAGAGGAAGGAAAAATTCTCACCAGTGACATGAGATTCAGTTCTCAGCTCTTGACACTCTGCGCCATTTCAAAAATCTGGCTGCTTCATTCTGGTGATGAGATGGGAGCAGGGACTTGCTTTGCATAGTGGGAAGCAGGATTTCTTGCTCTTCCTCTGAGTATTTGATGCTGGCAGTAGAGAAGTGAGGAACAAGGTAATCTTATCCAGGATGGCTGTAAGCCAGCCGGGGATGACTTCTGGTTCCCGCTGGAGGGACAGAGTCCATCCAGAGGGATGGAGCCCAGCTACGGATGAAGCAAGCTCATGTTTAGGAGCCTGTCTCCAGCCACATGTGCAGAAGGTTCGATGCTGGTGGCTACCAGCAGAAGCCAGGTCAAGGGATTCCCAAAGAGCGCAGAGTGCTTGCCAGGGGGACCCCAAAATGTCACATCCAACTTCTCACCCTGCACTCTGGGGGCAGGGGGCTGGCAAGTGATGTGTGAAGTGTTGAGTCAGTATAAATGTCACAGCCAAAGGTCTTCAGAGTCAGAGTGACAACAGGAGGAGACACTAGTGCCAGGAGTTCTGACACAAGGAAAACACTGTCACTGCCACCACCTCCGTCTTGAGATTTATTGATGATAACTTGGGATGTGCCATAAACAGGGGTGATATTAAACGAGTCTGACTGTCTTGGGGGCTACGTTTTACAACCCAAAGTGTGAATGCTCTCTGCCTCACTATGATCCTGAGGCATTTTTCCAGCAGCTCCCACGACCTTATTAAGTGCTCTCCCAAGAAGGGTTCCAACCCAAGAGAGTCCTCCCTGTGCAGCACAGCGCCAGCTGCTGGGATCAGACACAAATATCTGCCAGAGAACCCAGCGTGCACCCTCAGAGCTTAGTCATGGAGACCTTCCAGGCCACCACCACCACCTGACTGGGCCCACAGTCTTCCCCACCATGGTTTTGTGAAGAAACCAGAAATTGCCACACAGGTGTCCCCAAGTACCAATGCACCCCTGGTGTCAGAGGCTCCAACCTCAGTGCCAGCAGCTCGTGCCCGGGGACAAACCTCCCTGTAGCTGTGCTGAGTGTATTGAACCTAAGTGAACCTTTGCTGAGATGCCCTCTCAGCATGGTTTCAGCTTCTGAGGTCAATCCCATGATTTCCTCCTGGAGTCACTGGCCGCAAAGGGCTGTGCTGTCATGCAAATGCTTTCCTTCCACTCCTTGAAGGCATCTGGGGCTGCAATAGCAAGCACTAGTTGCAGCCTTTCTCCCCCATAGTAAAACAGCTCCAGGGGCCAGACAGTTGCCATCCCAAGGAGGCAGGTCTTGGTGAGCCGCTGTGCTTTTCTGCTGAGGGGTTCCCTTGTTCAGACAACACATTTTATCTCAGAAGAAGCAAAATCTTCAGCAGAGCCCTGAGGATACTGAATTCACTCTCCTGTGTCCCTTCTGCCTATCAAAAATAAAGCAGGTCTGTGGAGATCAAGGGCAGAGCACCCCATGGCCACAAGCCCTGTTCTTCACAGGTTGCATTCACCAACCCACAGGCCTCAAGGAAAATGATTTGGTCCAGAGACCCTACAGCTTATCCCAGGGAAAAGGTTTATTTCAGTGACTTCCCTGAGAAACCTCCTTGTCCTCCTGCCCTCACGACCTTTCTCTCTGCTCCTCCAGTCTGCTCGCAGTTCTCCAAGGGTGTCTACGCCATCTTTGGATTTTACGAGAGGAGGACCGTTAACATGCTCACGTCTTTCTGTGGAGCTCTCCATGTCTGCTTCATAACACCAAGCTTCCCCGTCGAAACGTCCAACCAGTTTGTTCTCCAGCTTCGCCCAGAGCTCCAGGATGCCCTCATCAGTGTCATCGAGCACTACAGCTGGCAGAAGTTTGTGTACATTTATGATGCTGACCGGGGTAAGTCACAAGTACATGGGAAGGGTTACCGGGCAATTAAGTGTAGTGGTCTAGGTGGAGTCTTTGCCTCAGTAAGTCCTCTTACTGTGGGTTGCTGGAGGCTGAGAGGGTGATTAAAGGAAGGGTCACCCTATGCCTTATTTGTTCTCTATTCCTTTTCTAAATTTTCATTACTGCTGAAGGTGGGCATTGATTTAGATGAAGCATTAGCCTGACCCGGTATGTCTGTGTTCACAGGGCCAGGTCTGAACCCCATCAACATGAGGGAAATATTTAATGTGTAAGAGGTTTGAGTTTCAAATGGGAAAATTGTTTATATTGAATAGGTCCCATATTGAATATGGTCTGTTGAACTCAAGGCCACCAAGTCCCACGTTTATAAATGTGAACCGACAGCTTCTCAGGTCTCACCTGAGCCCACATCCAGTTGTGATACGTGTGTGTGTTTCTGACAGGTAGCTTGGAAAACTCCAGGTTTCCTGTGTTAGTGAGTGTTAGTTGTCTATGTAAAATAACAAAAGCCTTCGTTGGGTTCTTGGAAAGTATTATCTAACTTTCTAAACCATGAACAGGGCTAGTGAGCTCATTTCTCTGAGATTCAGTTTCCCCAGCTCTCAGATGCCCTTAAAGCTCCAGGCTTGGAGGACGAGAGCAAAATGGACTTGTGGAGGACAGCGCAGAGTTAAGGGTGATTCACAGGTCTGTCCTGGAAGTTATCATTAGCCCTTGTAGGGACAGGATGACCTTAAGAGACAAGGAGAAGGTGTAAAAGCATCCCACCCTGCTTTCTGTTGTCATGAGGCACGGGCACTCTGAATATTCCAAAAGTACTGCAGTAGGCAGGACCCCAGATCGGTGCTGAGTATATATATTTCTCTCTTCTGGAAGGCTGTGCGTGTAATTTAGGCAAGATCCTTTTAAAAATAATGAAGTTTTCTGATGAGATGCTGCTGAGAGAGACAGGGACACTGAATATGATTGTGTATTGTGATTGCTGAGTGTGTCCCTAACCCTAGGAGCATAGAGCCTAAACAGATCAAAGATGAGAAGGGAACTATGGCCCAAAGAAATCGAGTGAGTTGGGTAGTGACAGACAAGAAGACGGGGATTAGAGCTCTTTCTGAATCCCACAGCAGGGCCTGATCAACGAGACTGATCTGCCGATTACAAAGGAAAACTAGGCCTGGAATCATCCTATTTTCCTGTCCTAGGACAGAAAAAGCAGGAGTCATTAATTCTAGCCTAGCTGTGTTTGGGTAAGATGCTAGACTATTAGCTGTTCTCTGTAGTTCTGCTGCACTTTTGCAATGCTGTATCCAGCCCTGCTTGAGGCAGCTACCTAGGCTGTCAGGAGGATGGAAAGATGCCATTGCACAACTAAAACCTGGTTCTCCCCCTACTGTCCTCTTCCCCCTCTCTTCCCATTGCAGGGTTGTCAGTCCTACAGAAAGTGCTGGACACCGCAGCTGAGAAGAACTGGCAGGTGACAGCTGTCAACATCCTGACGACAACAGAAGAGGGCTACCGCATGCTTTTCCAGGAGCTGGAGAAGAAGAAGGAAAGGCTGGTGGTGGTGGACTGTGAATCCGAGCGGCTGAACATCATCCTTAGCAAGGTTGTGTTGGTGCAGGTCTTCTGGGAGGGGTCTTGCATGCAGAACAGGAAGGGTTGTTTCTCCTGGAGAAGTTCTCCTCCCCATTCTTGTCTGATCCATGTCTTATTGCACCTCTCATTGGATGTGGTGTGTGTGTATTGCAGCAGGCTGCTGAGCTTGCAGGTATTTCTCCGTTGTGTTATTGTGGGAACTGTAAAGCCGTATAAATACTAGGAGCTCCCATGTATTAATTCTGAGTGAGCTCTGCTGCTCCATGTTCCCTACTTTTTTGATTCCTCTGAGAGCCCTTTACACCCCCTTACTCCCCAACAAGTTTGTTTTGTGCTAATTCTTCCAAGCAGCGTGCACAAGATGTGGCACTTCCTTATTCTGTTGAGTTTTTCTCTGGTTTTCCCACCTCCTGTGAGTTAGGGCGGAGGTGTGAATCGGCACTGCCAGACTCCTAGTCCTCCAGCCACCGTGTGCTGCACCAAATTCTCACAACCACTGCCAGCAGGACAGAGATGGAGAAGCTTTATGGTACAACTGTAGTGTCCTCAGGAGCACTGTCTCCAGATCAGGCCAGAGCTCAGCATCCTCTTAGGGCATCCAGGCTGTAGCAGGATCAAATTTTTCCAGATCCTCTCATGCCTTGCAGCAAGAGAGACTGGTTCATTCCCAGCTATCTCCTGGCTCTTTTGTCAACTCATGGCCACAAAGCAGATGAGATATGCAACAGAGGACTCAGCAGCTAGGTTGTGTGCCCTGCCTCACCCATCCTCAATCTAGATAGGTTGCCCAGTAGTGCAGACCCAAATTTTCCCCATCCTCTTTCCTCCATGCCTCCCTTAATGCTTTCCCTAAGTCCTGAATATGGACTTCTGTGGACAGGAGACCAATGCAAGCTTCTGGACAGGTCTCAGTCCACACTTGTGTCCCCTCTTCAACTCCAGCCTTAATTTCTTTCTCCCTCACTCCTACAGCCAAGGCTTTCCCCACAGCTGGAACTCCTGTCCCACGTGGCTTAGAAAGGGTCCCGCAGTGCCACGCAGCCTGTGCACTGTGACTCACGCTATTGTACTTCTTATATCCAGCTCACTCTTACCTCGTGCTTCACACGTCGCTTTGTCTAAGCTACCTGTCACCTCCTGTCTCACACTTCAGTGGCTCGCTGTCTGGGGCAAGGACTGCCATTTCACCAGCTGCACATCTCAATGATGAGCACAATCCATCCTTGTTGGATGTCTCTGGGGGCTGCTCCATTATATATAATAACAAAGCAGGCAGCAGGTTTTAGCCTCAAAGTAAAGATCATATTCGTGAAGGAGAGACCAGATTATTCTGGAGAGTAAAGTCTTCTCTCTGACCACAGAGTAGCTGCAGTTGAACAAAATTTTTGACAGGACCTAGGCAGTGAATTTGCCTTTTCTGCAAGCTTTCCTATAGGGTATATCAGATTTCTATGGTTAATGATGTTGGGTTTTTAAGCCTGGTTTGTCTAACAGAAAGTTAAGTTCTATAGTTAGATATTATCTAGTTTTCCTAATATGAACAGGAAAATAAGTCTTTCTTTCAAACTTCTTCACATAACTGGAGCAAGAGTTAAACTTAGATATAAGTAAAGCTATTTGCAAGAACACAAAAAAAAACCCAGATCTTGTGATTATATTTATTTTGCAATGTGTAAAAAACATCCATTAAAGACAGAGCAATTCCAACAGACATCTGTGTCTAGGAGGTAACACTCCTGTTAGGGATGGGGCTGTAAATAACTTTTTTTCAGACCTGTGTAGTCCGTTTTTATCCTCGTTTGACTTCTTGTTCTGAGTCCACAGGGATTTCTGAGAGCAGTTATCCCAGCGTAAGCAGGGCATGCCGGATCTTTCACAACATGCAGATGACTGGAAGGGGTCAAAGATAGTGTTTGGCTCATTATCATGTGAAATTCAGCTGGGACTTAAACTCGGGCTGGCAGCCACTGTCTCAGCTCATGGCACCAGCAACCTCTGCGTGGATGTCACTGCTCTGTTTGCCCTGTCTCTTGGAGTGTTTGTGGTGTTCAAAGAGCTGCCTCAGCCTCTCAGGGACATTTTAATGCACTTTCCTTCCTTGACAAACCTGTCTCTGTCTTTCAGTGGCTGTGGATTTGTGCTCCCCAGTGAACAGAAGAGCTGGGGATGGCTGTTTAGCATCAGTCACTCACACTTACACACTGTTGCTTGCACACACTTTTAATTTCCTCTTTCCACCCCATACACATAACACAAATAACCACCACTGACTCCGACAAGGCAGTCCTCGCATTCTGGAAACCATAGCTGTAGAGGAGCCAGTGCTCAATGTGTTAATGATACGTGGGAAAATGACCTGATTTCTTTCTTGGAGATTTCTCTGTGTCATGTCTCAAGGGCATGATTTATCTTTGCCGAGGTAACTGTCATTTATGAGCCAGGCCTTGGTTCAGGGCAGGATATCCGTGGGGCCACGCTGTGCAGCCTTAATGGGATAAGTAAGCAGTGGGTTGTATTCCGTCAAAGCCCTGTATTGTTTCTTCCTTGTCTCTGATTAAAATGAATAATGGGAATTTCTCCTTTGCCACTGTTTCACTCTGAGAGGATTTCTCTCTAATAGATGTCAAACTGGCCCATTAAGAAGTGGGTAATGAAACCTAGGTGGCCCAAGTGAGCTATCAGCATGCAGCCCAGCACAGCCTCTCACCACGTTCAGGCTAAGTGATAAATGCTATTATAACCTCAGCTTGCTACCGCCGTCCGGACACATTAGGACTGAGCAAGCATTCTAAAATAAATTAAGATCACAAATAACTGTGTAAAACACAGGAAGCAAGCCTCATAATTCAGGTGGATGGGCTGCAAGATTAACAGCTCAGGGAAAGCTGGATGGCAGCCCTCTCCGGTTCATCGACTCTGACACCTAATAAAATAACAAAGGGAGAGTTTGGGCAGAAGAAGCCAATGCCAGCTATTGTTGATACTGGAGAAATGAGGAATTTGATCGCAGTTCTTAGACATCCCAGTTCCCCAGAGATGTTTCTTCCTCCCACAAGGTCTGGGACTTACTGCAAAGGTCGGTCTCAGTTGATGAATGGAAGGGGACAAGTTGGGTCTGGTTTTGCTTCTCAGATCTGGCTATGGAAGATATTCTGAAAACTACCCATAATAAGAGTATATATCTTTATAGCCTTAGGTATACAGAGTTTTTTCCTGAGAGCTCCAGCCTACTCAGCAGAAGCCATACTGAGGGATCCTGTGGGGAGAACCACAGAGCAGTGAAGCTGGTGGAGCTGACATTAGTTGTGTAAGAAACTGCTACTAAATGAAGCCTGCATTGGAGTTAATTGCCGCCCCCACATGAATGCTGGGAACCAGATGAGTTTTAATGTGCGTACAAGAGCACTTCATCACAGAAGGGCTAAGGCAGATGAACCAGTTGCACAGAGCAAGTGTCAGCTCATTTATAATCCATTTGGAAATCCCTAAATGGCTGCTCATGATAATCTGGGAGTGCTGTCCCATGGGGGACATCAGTCTGTGTGTGCCCTCGTCTGATGCTTCTCAAACACCTGCTACCAGCCTGGTATCAGAGAGAAGTCCTGGGTAGACCGATCTCTGGTCGAATCCAACACAACAGTCATTTTATTATCATTCTGGCTGTGAGGATGTTTCTGGCCTCGCTACCGTTCGTGCAGATTTTGCCTGAGCGTTGGCAATGCAGGCAGTAATTCAGAATCAATTCATACGACAATGGAAATAAGAGGTAGTGTTGCCAGCAAAGAAACCTTATGGAAACAGCATGGCTCTCTCAGAAACTGGCAATTCTTGTGTTTTTACAGGTTCTGAGGGCATGCTGGTTTGGGCCTTTTTTTCACTGTCTTCTTTCTGTATGTGGATTGGCTCAAATGCAGATGGTATCTGGCTCTAGTCACCTGGTATGAATTTGACAGTGCTGCTGGAAATCAGTGGAGAGGAGTTTCGGTGGAAATCTAAAGTCAGCAAGAATAATGTAATTTTTAGCTGTATTCTTTCTGTATTTTTTAAATCAAGGAAGAAAAAGACAGCTAGGGACCATCTGATCAATGACCCTGTCCCCCATAATCACAGGCAACCCTGCAACAGATAGTGCCTTTCTACCTAGACAAGGGAAACTTTTCCAGCTAACATAGAAACTTTCAAATGTTACAGATCCATAAGCAATTGTGTTGATAAAAGAGAATAAAAACCTAACTCTACAGGCATCGGGGAGAAAGGAGTAAGTGGCAAAGAGCATATATTGGGACACCATGAGTATGAAGATATAAATAATCTCAATGAACATGCAAGGGGAATCCTCTGATGAGTGACTTGCCCAGGCAGCTTTGTTCTGAAGATATGGCTTGAAGCTACCCCAATGCACTAAAGGAGAAAAATTGCCCTAGTCTAAACCTCCTGACATCTCGCCCAGGTAGGTGTCTGCGGCAGGGACTCTAGATGGGAGGATGTGCAGAATAGCTCTCTAGTCTTGCTCAGTGTTTCAGCTGCATTCACAGGACAAATGGACCCCAGCTCCCCGCTTTGTTCCTTTAATGTCTGAAATACAAATCTCATTTAACCTTTATTTAGAAAAAGTACTGTGTTTTTATCCCTGAGCCCGTAGGAAAAAGGTTGGTTCAGGTAGTTTATTCTCCCTGCCTGTGGAATCTGCCTGGGGATCTTGTCCTGTCTAATTTCAGACTTGTTGTTCAAATATCATGTGTGAAAGTTCTGTCCTTCCTCTAACAATATTGTGAACTTTTCCTTTGCTACGTCTTCCTGTCTTCAACCGAACAGTCTCATCGGGGAAAAATGGGGAGGAAGGGTAGATAAAAGAGGTTCTACTTCCTTAGTTGGTGTCTGCTAAATATCCTTGGTTTTCATCTTGCAGATCATCAAGCTTGAAAAAAATGGGAACGGGTACCACTACATTCTGGCAAATTTGGTGAGTTTCCCTCCTTGGCATTTTTTTTTAGTATCTCAGATTTCATAAAGCACTATACTTGTAGTTACTGAGCTGGAAGTCTTTTTTCTAATCCACTTTTTGGGTAGAAAAAATACCGAAGTAATTTGCAGTGTTGTCCTTGTAGTGTTTTCTGTCTTGAGCCAGCAAGATTATCTCTAGGGTATCTCCAAGGTAGCTAGATTTATATTTTTTTTGCCTCCAGATTCAGTTTGCATCTTTTCAAAGCCAGTTAAGCCAACTGCAATTTAATGCTTGTTGTGATAATGATTTTTTTTGCATGTCATGGGCACCTGGGGTCCTGGTATTGCCCTCCCAGCTTGTTTCAGTCAAGCCACCAAGAAGTTGTTGATTATTGCTAACAACTTGTATTTTCTAACTAGTTTTAACTCTGCTTCAGTGTGTGTCCCCCAAGCGAAGTGTTTCACAGCCATCCTGAGAGGCAGGCTCTCTCAGGGCACTGAGGCACTCTCCCCACTAAGGGCAGACTTGTTAATGATGATGCGCCACGAGCCCTCTGACCTTCCAGTGAAAATAAAATATGTACCTATTCTGTAACTTGGTGCTAAATCAAATCTGACTGTCATGGCTCTAAGGAATGAATTGGATTTAAAGATTTCTTTAAGGAAAGGATTCTCCCTTGAATGCAGGGAGGCACTGCCTGAGGACAGAGCTGTGCTGGGCAGCAGCAGGGCCATCTTTCTGGAGCAATATGCTGTCCTCTTCTAGGAGGCTGGAGAATTTCTCTGCCTAGGGAAGTTTGGGAAGAGGTAAGAGAGAGGAATAGCCTCAACCCATAGGGCAGATGGCGGTTTTCTGCAGCAGAGCTCCTGCCCTCTCCTCCCCAGAGGTGTCCATCCATCCGGGGCGATGCACAGCAGAGGACAGGCTGGTGTCCACAGCCTGGGGCTGAGGCTGCTCCCCCCAGGAGCCGCTGTGTCCGTGTGGGGTCTGGAGCCGTTCTTCCCTCCCGCAGCTGTGTCTGCAAAGCAGCACATCAGGCCCAGGGTAATTAAACTTTAAACTACCAATTACTCAAGCAGTTGCTGCCATTCTCCTTCTCTCAGTCCCAAGATAACTCTGTAATTTACAAGACAAAAATGGCCACATACCCCACGATGCCCTGACACTGACCCTGCACTTCTGTGCTGGTGGCCTACCATGTAATTACAAAGTTAAAAATGTTACGTTGTGCAGGGGCAGATATGCAAACTGTAGAGCAGCCAATAACTTCCGTTGCTAATTTTTAAAAAATTATTATTTGCTGTAACCCAGGTCCCAGTCTTCAAATGTTTATGAAAGTCCATTAAAGTTAAACAGGGAAGCTATCTGGAGTAGCTGGAGTGTGCATGCTGTGCACTTTTATATATACCCATGCAGAAGGCTAAATGAGAATGCTATCACTTCTTCTCTCTGCACCATTTCATAAGGATAAATAAATTACAGACATGAGGTGGTCTAATACTCAGGTGTTGGAGTCATGAAGGACATTTGTCTTATGATATCACTTTCTCCCACCTTCAGCCTGAGAAAGCACACTTTTCCCATATTTAATTTGTTTTCTTAGTCTTTGCACAAATGCTGAGAGGTCAGCACTGGCTGGAACAGGCTGCATACTCAGCCAACATGGATTATAAATAATTAACTCGGAACAAAATGCTTTTCATTTCCCCAGCCCCTCTGCAGGGAGATTCTGCCTCCCAGGCGCGGCTCAGAGGGGGCTGCTTCGGGTCCCTGGGACCCACAGGGTCTGATGGGACCACCAGAAACCACTGTTACTAGCTGGGCTTTTCAAGCAGCTTTGATCTGGGAGGAGAAGACGACTAGTGAAAGGAATTCAAGCTCTTTCATTTGGTCTTTCCTGCTCCTTAAAACCCAGCATTGCAAGAGTCAAACTCCAGAGACAAGAATCATAGAATCATTTAGGTTGGAAAAGACCTTTAAGATCATCAAGTCCAACCGTTAACCTAGCACTGCCAGGTCCACCACTAGACCACGTCCCTAAGCACCACATCTACACACACAGAATCATAGAATCATTTAGGTCAGAAAAGACCTTTAAGATCATCAAGAATATTAAAAAAAAATAAAAGAGGAGGGGATAATCAGGCAACATGGGGAAGCTATTTAAAAAAAGTTTAAGAAGGCCCTTTCTAGGGCAGAACGAACTTCGTGGTTCTGCCATGCACACAGGCAGGTTCAGGCACCAGAAACCAAATCAGTTTCTGTGATGTGCTGCACCTACACGAGAGCTACTCACTGATCAGTTCTGCAAGGAGAACAGCAAAAAGGCCGTGAAGATCCCATGTTCCTGAGACCATTATTACAGTGAAGAAGGACGGCAAACCTCCCTCTGCGGGCATGGCCAGGGAGGTTATAAGGGATTGGCAGAATGTGGGAAGTTGGCATCTGCCAGGGTTAAACCATAGCGTGGATGCTCTGATCCAAGAGATCACAGTAGGTTTTACCCTCTTCTGAGGACATCTCATTGCTGGATTAGAGCCTTCGGAGGATGTAACATGCTATAATTTATTCCCACTGACTCACACACGTAGTGGATAGACCTTAAACACTCCACATTTTCCCCTGTAGACAAGTCCTAAGATGACAGGGCGTGCATTGCCCACACACACGCATATACCCTCATGTGCACACCCGCATGCCTGGAAAACAGCCCGATTTTGTGGAAATGGCTCATTCTGGAGTACTGGGTCATAAGAGAATAAATTAAGAACTAAAAACTGCAAGTGCCTGAACATTTCCAAATGAGGAATTTTTTGTCCCCTGTGTTGACTGATGCAGTCCTGATTTTAGGACTCTCATCCTATATGAAGATAAGGCTCCCAGCCCTGGCTGGCACAGGCTGTGCCTTGCACAAGTCACGTGAGACCTCAGCTGGTTTGTAGCCACCAAGTTACCTGCACTAGCTGGAGCAAGGAGATGAACTTTCAATACCTGCCTTTTGCAACAATGCCTAACCTTCTTGGGCCCTTTTCCATGGGGAAACAATTATGAAAATGACACACTGGAAGCAAACATTGGGAAATATTTATGGATAACCCCACAGAAATTCTTATTTTTGGCTATACACTTGTTCAGAGCTATACTCAGCCAAAAAAACAAGCAGCAGCACACTACTGCCCAGTTACAGCAGCTCCAAACTGGGGTTACATCAGGAACGCAAAGCAGGTGAGTCTGCAAGGCAATGCACAGGCCGAATAAGGCCTGCAAAAATCATCCATTTTCAACACAGAGGAATTCCCTGTCTGGTCACAGACAACTCCTGAACAAAGAGGAACTGGCTTGCATTAATCACTGCTTGTTTGCCCAGCGGTTGCTGTCGGGTGAGCTGTAGTAAAGCACCAAGCAGAATTTGACAAGTAGCAGCAAATGAAAGCTAGTATTTCCTACCAGGAACAGCTTTCTTTTTCCGTGAAATTGCTGTTGCCAAGGTGAGACAATAATATTTCTGCGTTCACAAACAAAATGAAACCATTCTGCACCTTAGGCTATGGGCAAACATCCTTCTCCGAATCTGCTATGCCTGTTAAAGACACAATCTGTCTTGTCTGCTCAGCCCTGCCCATCTCACGAAGGTCTGTCTCCAACGTCACTGCCAGGGGAAGGGTTCGTGTGAGCATCCCTGCCTGTTCTTGAGGCAAATTTGGCACTGTCTATGGTTTTTGCAAACTCATGAAAACCTGATCCTCGACAGGTACCCATTACAGTTACCCCAGTTAGCTTTTACCAGCTGCCAGCCTGGGTATTTGTCAGGTGTACCAGTACTGGGGAGTTGCAATC